AAATTCCTGTCAAAACATTCTTAGAACAATCTTTCATGCCATCTTTGAGTCAACTAATTTAATTTGAAAGCCCTTCAAATGTTGTGCAGATATGCTATTTAAATATAATCCCAGAAATATTAAACAGGTTTAATTACAATTTCCCAAAGGAAAACCATATTCAAAGTTCAAATTTTGTTCATTCGAGAAAATCTTTCCATTTTGCTCCACATTTTTCATCAGCATAGTTGGTTTGACCCCAATAACCATAAAGAAATCAAATGAACCTTCCAAAAATGAAAATTTTCATACGAGATTCTACTAATGTATGGCCAGCTGTAGGTCACAGCTGCTAGGACTGTCATTGTAATTGTTATTGGATGCAGTTGGGGGTATCACACTTGGTTAAAAAGTCTTTTTTTTTTAGGTTGCTATATTAGTAAACTGCCTTTCTTCCCATCTCAGAAATGTGGGAGACATAATTAATATTTTTAAAATAAATTTCTGCTAAAAAGGAGTTTGCACTCCTCATGTTATGTTTAATGATATAAGAACACATATGGGAGTGAGTGTATGCCATAATAATGGTGCTACTTTGGTGTAGCGCAGGGGTCTCCAAACTTTTTATTACAAGGGCAACATCATATATTTTACAAATATTTGTGAAAAAAAAAATTCAACATCAGCCCCCCCCGCATCAGAAACAAAGTCCTACCTAATATCAGGTTTCCCATCAGAGTCCCTTCTTACATCTGGTTCTCCCTTACATCAGGGTCCCCCTTTCAGCCAGGTCCCCATCAGAGTCCCCCTAATATTAGGGTCCCCACTTACATCAGAAACAGAGACTATAGGTAGCCTGACCATAGCTGCGGGCTGGATAAAATCTTGTAGCAGGCCGGATGTGGCCCGTAGGCCATAGTTTGGAGACCCCTGGTATAGAGACTTTATAGACTTGATACTTGCAACTGTTTTTTTAATACTATGCATTTTACTTTACATGCAAGTCTGTATACAGAGGATCCCCGGTTAGTAGTTTTAATAGACTTTAATAACTATTAAGTAATAAACAACTAAACTGGATATTAAGTTTTTAGGATTTTTCAATAAGATAGGCAGCTGAGCATGCTGTGTGCTTTATATTACGGAGCACTTTATGTTGACTATACAATGATATCCTTTTTAAGGTAATGCTTCCTTTACAACTTACGTTGACTCTTTGCAGGGCAGCTGTATATGCCTTTAGCATGTACATTGCTTTCAGTTTTGTCTATTTTCTGTTCCCCTTCCTATTTCCTCATGAGCATGTCTGTATTTCCACAGTGAATAGCAGCAAACAGCAGCACCTACAGGCAATGGGTATAATATATTACATATAATTTGGACTAGTCTTCTGTATGCCATATACTGTATAACTACCAAACATGCTCAAGTACAGTGTATGAAATCAGAATCTCCTAAATAATTTAATTCAAATTAAAACAAATAATTTGAAGCAATAATTTTGAAAATACTATCCATTTGTGATTCACTGTTGTCTTTTTGTTGCAGATTAAATTAGTGAATATCAACTCAACTGACATTGCTGACGGGAAACCTACCATTGTGCTTGGTTTGATATGGACCATCATTTTGTATTTTCAGGTAATTGAAATTAGGGTGTAGGGAAGAGTGGAACTGAGAGCTAACTTCTCCTTGAAAATGGGAATTTGGCTAAGTGCTTTGAAGGTAATGGGAAATTAGAGATATTTGTAACCATGCAATTGGACTTTAAAAGGCTTCTGAGCCAATGTACCTTCTAATTATTTCGACTAGTGCTTGTGCTAAAAAAAAACAGGTCCTCATTAGTTTTTTACTTTACTTTTTTTAAAAAGAAAAAAAAAAGCAGTGAAAGGTAAAATAAAAAAATTAAAGTGACTGTACACAAATATGATCAATCAAATAAAAAAAAAATGCCAAGAACATTTGAGCAGTGTTTTACTATGTGTCAGTGCATGCACGTTTACGTGTACAATAATGTGTATTGCATTGCCAACGTGTTGTTTTGCCACATATCACTCTTTATGCCAATAAAAAATAAGTAAATCGATTCTTGATATAGAAATACAGTGGGGCAAAAAAGTATTTAGTCAGCCACCAATTGTGCAAGTTCTCCCACTTAAAAAGATGAGAGAGAGAGGCCTGTAATTGGCATCATAGGTAGACCTCAACTATGAGAGACAAAATGAGAAAAAAAATCCAGACAATCACATTGGCTGATTTGTAAATAATTTATTTGCAAATTATGGTGGAAAATAAGTATTTGGTCAATATGAAAATTTCATCTCAATACTTTGTTATATATCCTTTGTTGGCAATGACAGAGGTCAAACGTTCCTCCATGCAGATCTCCTCTAGAGCAGTGATGTTTTGGGGCTGTCGCTGGGCAACACGGACTTTCAACTCCCTCCAAAGGTTTTCTATGGGGTTGAGATCTGGAGACTGGCTAGGCCACTCCAGGACCTTGAAATGCTTCTTACGAAGCCAGTCCTTCGTTGCCCGGGCGATATGTTTGGGATCATTGTCATGTTGGAAGACCCAGCCAAGTTTCATCCTCAATGCCCTTGCTGATGGAAGGAGGTTTGCACTCAAAATCTCACGATACATGGCCCCATTCATTCTGTCCTGTACATGGATCAGTCGTCCTGGTCCCTTTGCGGAGAAACAGCCCCAAAGCATCATGTTGCCACTGCTTCACAGTAGGTATGGTGTTTTTTGGATGCAACTCAGCATTCTCTCTCCTCCAAACACAACGAGTTGTGTTTCTACCAAACAGTTTCTATTTTGGTTTCATCTGACCATATGACATTCTCCCAATCCTCTTCTGGATCATACAAATGCACTCTAGCAAACTTCAGACAGGCCCAAACATGTACTGGCTTAAGCAGGGGGACACGTCTGGCACTGCAGGATCTGAGTCCCTGTCGGCGTAGTGTGTTACTAATGGTAGCCTTTGTTACGTTGGTCCCAGCTCTCTGCAGGTCATTCACTAGGTCCCCCCGTTTGGTCCTGGAATTTTTGCTTACCGTTCTTGTGATCATTTTGACCCCACGGGGTGAGATCTTGCGTGGAGCCCCAGATCGAGGGAGATTATCAGTGGTCTTGTATGTCTTCCATTTTCTAATTATTGCTCCCACAGTTGATTTGTTCACACCAACCTGCTTGCCTATTGCAGATTCAGTCTTCCCAGGCTGGTGCAGGTCTATAATTTTGTTTCTGGTGTCCTTCGGCAGCTCTTTGATCTTCAACCATAGTGGAGTTTGGAGTGTGACTGTTTGAGGTTGTGGACAGGTGTCTTTTATACTGATAACAAGTTCAAACAGGTGCCATTGATACAGGTAATGAGTGCGGGACAGAGGAGCCTCTTAAAGAAGAAGGTACAGGTCTTTGAGAGCCAGAAATCTTGCTTGTTTGTAGGTGACCAAATACTTATTTTCCACCATAATTTGCAAATAAATTCTTTCCAAATCAGCCAATGTGATTGTCTGGATTTTTTTTTCTCATGTTGTCTCTCATAGTTGAGGTCTACCTATGATGCCAATTACAGGCCTCTCTCATCTTTTTAAGTGGAGAACTTGCACAATTGGTGGCTGACTAAATACTTTTTTGCCCCACTGTATTTAGACAGAATAAAGCTAATTTTTGATTCCACTACATATTAGTCAATGTGTTGAGAATCACACAATTCAGCAACCTGTCAGTTTATCTGAAAAAACATTTTTTTTCTGTTTTTCATAGAGCAGGGGAGGAGCATTACAATCTGCCAGGTTGATATTGCTGTCTGGGTCCCTGCAGGGGAGACTCTCCCTCTTTATTTTGTTCCTTCAGTGGGGTGAAATTAAGGGAGAATTTGAAATTTTGAGTTGTCACCACATCAAGAATAGAAAAGAAATCTGACAATGTGGACATTTGTGACAACTACCTGAAAGGGTATTTCCCCCACTTTGGAGATATCCCCTCTTGTTTCCTATCAGGTCTTCAGACAGGAAGTGGAAGAAAATCTCTGCAATGGAAAAAAGTTCCCCATTCCCTACTCCATCAAAACTACAAAAAGTGTTGCTTTTTTTACACGTTATGGCTAAAGTGATGGTATGGCAGATGCTGCTTGCATTAGAGCTCACTTTATCCTAGTAAAACCTCCAACTGAACTGTCTGATTAGGGATGATTCAATGCGGTGATGACTCACAGGGATCTGTTTATCAATTCACACAACTTTCACCCAAGATTCAAATTTTTTTAAGTCTTAGGAGAAAATGTGCGAATCTTGGGTGACAACATTGACAAACTCCACAGAGTTTTGTTAATAGCTTCTTTTAGTATTGTACCAACAAAGATACAATGCTAAAGGTCAAAAGGAGACTAGAGGTCTACTGGCTTTAAAAGAAAATGTAAACAATAATTATGTTTATATTATCATGTTTAAGTGACTAAAAAAAGTATTTTTTTTACAGAGTCCTGACCATAATAACTAAAAAACATATGCAGAAAATCACTATAAATTATTTTTAAAAAGCAGGGTGCTAGTTCGAAAGTGCTCTCTGAGCTACTGATTAACCAGTGAAAAGACTTTGTAATTGTCCATTTACCATGATATTTAAAATCAACCACATTGTGTATCATCTCCTAGATTGTAAGCTCCAAGGAGCAGGGCCCTCGAACCCCTCGTGTTTCGCACTGTATTGTTATTGCACTGTCTCATGTAATGTCCCCCATTGTAATGTACAGCACTGAGCGAACTGTTTGCGCTATATAAATACTGTATAATAATAATAATTATGTTCACATTCAAATTTATGTTACTATGTGTTATGCTTTTTTTTTTTTTAACTTTTTATAGATTGAAGAATTAACCAGCAATCTTCCACAACTTCACTCACTATCTAGTAGCACATCTTCAGTAGACAGTATGGTGAGCTCTGATATAGCCAGCCCCCCAACCAAACGCAAAGTGGTCAATAAAATTCAGGGAAGTGCCAAGAAAGCCCTGCTTAGATGGGTACAATATACTGCAGCCAAGTAAGTATATGTTTTTGTTTACTTTCGTTTTTTTTTTGTTTATGTTCGTAAAACATGTCTTATGTACTGGTTCTAAAACTTCTCATCGAATATAGGAAGAGTCAAGTTAGAAAATGAGCCTTATACATCAATAAAGGGGATAAGTAAATCAGGCATGATTTGTGAATCAGATAGTTTTAACTGAAACATGTTTAACTTCCTGAATATGTGAATATGAAACCCCTTAAGTATTTCAAGTAATGTAAGTCAATGGTTACTCCTGCTAATCCATACATCACTACTCTTTCATATTGTGACTCAGCGATAAATGGATTAGACCACAAAGTGCAGCATAAAACCTGGAGCTTGGTACTCCTTTTACGGGCCACATTTCTTAGCAGCGTTATCTTAGTGACAGAGTTGCTTTGAACACAGTTGCTGTAAAGGTCCTTTTTCAAAACTGATTGAAAATTTTTTTCTTACCCTCGTGCAATTGATGTGCGTTTTGCCAGTCCTTGGCATAATAAATACATTTCTCAAAACGTTTACCTACCCTTTTAAATACTGTATTTGATCATGCTAATTAAGTCTTATGGGCAGCAAAGTGGCTTAGTGGTTAGCACGTCTGCCACGCAGTTAATGGGTCATGGGTTCAATTCCCAACCAGGGCACCTCCTGCATGGAGTTTGCATGTTCTGACTGTGCTTGCGTGGGTTTCCTCTGGGTACTCTGGTTTCCTCCCACACTCCAAAGACATGCTGGTAGGTTAATTGGCTCCTGTTTAAATTGTCCTAGTTTCATCCCTGGCCATGTGGGATCTCCTGCATGGTAGGGGTTGGGGAAAGACCTGGCAACCTACCCTGTAAAATAATTGCTAAGCGAATTCATGGAAAAAGTCACTTACAGGTGACAGTCCATGCAATCGGCAAGGGTTGGATACGACTGAATGGATGGATAGATAGATAGAATTAAGTCTTCTGTAAGATGTCTTTTCTCCAAAATTAATATATGGAATTCCAGGACTTGAAAGTGTTCCTCTCACCACAGGGTCACTTGTAAAAGTCCAACCTGTAAAAAAGAGAAGCTATACTTAACTCCCCACAGTCCATGTCTTCTAGCACTTTGGTGACAGAGTCCCTTTAAGCATAAAGAAAGTTATTAAAGCTGCTACATGTATGTGCTGCCCATTCCAAGGAGAAAGGGTGGTTTACAGAGTCCAATGTCAATCATGAATTATTCTGCTAACAAACAACTCAAGGGTGCACATTAATATAAAAAAGACTCTACTCAATTGTGTACCCACAAACTTTGTTATCCTGCGACTTGGCACTGCCATCTTGCCAATCGCATACCTACAAGCGGTGAAGCCAGGATGTCAGTCGCAGTCCTCTTGTCAAAGACGCCCCTATCTTTCCTGTGACGGTCATGTATTACTGTTCCATGCTTATGTCAGTGGCCAAGGATAGGGGTTAGAGGTGAGGATGAGGCTTTGGCTGACTGACTGAATGTTTTTAGGAAATATGGAGAGCATTTGAAACACTGATGGATGAACTATGAAGGTTTATATCCTTTAGGAATAAGAAAGTTCACTCTGATACTTCCTAAAATATCTAAATATATGTCAATACTAGATACAGACTGCTTGAAAAAAAGTATCCATTTTGTTTTTCTTAAAAAATGAAAGGCGACATGGAATCGAAATAAAAGACTTTGGATCAAGTTGGAGAAGTGGCATTGCCTTCCACTCAATAATCTATGCAATTCGTCCAGAACTGGTGGACATGGAGAAACTTAAAGGAAGAAGTAATCGGGAGAATCTGGAAGAAGCTTTTTCAATTGCAGAAATTGAGCTGGGGATTCCAAGACTCTTAGAGCCTGAAGGTACTTTTATATTCTTGTATTACAGCAACTAGAATCAAAAATGGAACTAGATAAATTAACTACAGATTATATACCTAAATCTTATACGCTGCTCAAAAGAATTAAAGAAACACTTTTTAATTAGAGTACAGCATCAAGTCAATTAAACGCTTGAGATATTGATCTGGTCAGTTAAGCCCCCTGGCAGTATTCCCGAGAGTAGCTCTGGGTTAACTTTCAGTACTTTCAGCTACACTCGGGATTACCCTGCAGTGTTACTCTGAGATCCCTCGAGCACTTACCTTGTCCTGTGCTCCCGCGATGTCCCCCCTGCAGCATCCCTGGCCATGTCCTCCAGCCGATGCGGCATCCGTCTTCGGGGTTCTGTTTCCTGAGAGCGTCAGACGTGCAGGAATTTAAAACATTTTTAAATTTGACATTTACTCAATACACTAAAATCTGATAGTGTTACATTACTGTATCAAACCATTTCACATACATTTTGTCCCTAGTGCTTTGTCCTCTACCCTGTCTGCATTTTTACCGTTCTTTCTGCTTGGAAACTGAGAAACGTCCATGGCGTCCAAAAAAAGCGTCCCTTTAGGTCAAAAGCGGTTTTAGACCAGCTAGAGAACAGCGATAGTAAATTACAACCACTTGCAGAATTGAGTGATATTGATTCGTGGAGAAATTCGGCATCAGACACGGAAAACTATTTTGCGACTAAGCTCAGTGATGTGCGAACTTGGTGCTCTATTTCAAATTTCAATGTTTTTGGTTTGATTACATTATTGAATTAAATGTATTATTATTATATTATTATTTTTTATGATTATTTTTTATATTATAATTTATGATTTCATGTTTAAAATTTTATCATACCCGGGATGTTTACTAGACTCTTGTTTGGACAGATTTCAGTGAGTTATTCCTAAGAATTACAGGCCTACAATAAAAAAAAACATATTTCCATTGAAAACAATGTACCGCTTTGAGCACAGAAATACTGACATAATCAGACCGCTAGGGAGGTTATTTAGCAGAGGGAGTTGTTAATAATTTTCAGCTGGTTTGGTGTTAATTAAACAGGAATTGTTTTACAGGTAGATGCTGCTGCCATTTTTTTTCCCTACTCATCTTTTCTGACTGTTTTTCACTAGTTTTGCATTTGGCTAGGGTCAATGTCACTACTGGTAGCATGAGGCGAAACCTGTACCCTACAAAGGTTGCACAGGCAGTCCACCTCCTCCAGGATGGCATATCAATACGTGCCATTGCCGGAAGGTTTGCTGTGTCTCCCAGCACAGTCTCAAGAGAATAGAGGAGATTCCAGGAGACAGGCAGTTACTCTAGAAGAGCTGGACAGGGCCGTAGAAGGTCCTTAACCCATCAGCAGGACCAGTATCTGCTCCTTTGAGGAAGGAGGAATAGGATGAGTACTGCCAGAGCCCTATTACCCTACCTCCAGAATGCCACTGGTGTGAATGTCTCTGACCAAACAATCAGAAACAGACTTCATGAGGGTGACTCAGTGGGTCCTGGGTTCCTCCTGGTGTACGACAATGCCCGGCCTCATGTGGTGAGAGTATGCAGGCAGTTCCTTGAGGATGAAGGTATTGATGGACCCCCACTCTTGCCTGACCTAAATCCTATAGAACATCTTGGGATATCATGTTTCGGTCCATTCGACGCCACCAGATTGCACCTCAGATTGTCCAGGAGCTCAGTGATGCCGTGGTACAAGTCTGGAAGGAAATACCCCAGGACGCCATCTGTCATCTTAGTACGAGCATGCCCCAACATTGTCAGGCATGCATACAAGCACATGAGGGCCATACAAACCTCTGAGTACCATTTTGAGTTGCTGCAATGAACTTTCAGCAAAATGGACTAGCCTGCTGCATAATTTTTCACTTTTTTTGGGGTGTCTTTGAATTCAGGTTGATAATTTTCATTTCCATCAAACGATGGGGCATCCTTACACTCTTAACACATTACCCAGTCCATATCAATATAAACATCCAACATATTTTTCCCTATTGAGATCTGATGTGCTTTTAAATTGTTCCTTTAATTTTTTTTTAGCAGTGTAGTATTAAATGTATAATATACAATAACATTGCCAGACTGAATAAATAGGTATATTTACATGTTTTTCACCTTAGATGTTGATGTTGATAAGCCTGATGAAAAGTCCATCATGACATACATCGCTCAATTCCTCAAACACTATCCTGATCTTCACAGCTCAGCAGGGGATGCACAGCAAGATGACGTAAGTGTCAAGAACCTATTGCTAAAATGTTTATATCTGTTTGCCAATTGATTTTAAGCGGGGAAGTTCTGCTTTAATGCTTTGCCCCCTGCTCCCCATTAAGGATTGGCACCTTTGGGGAGTGGGGGGGTGAGCGGGTAACCGAATTTGACAGGTACCCAATCCCACTTCCGCTGCGATCACCTAGGCGATCAGAAGCAGAAGTTGTCCCCCCCTCCCTTCCTGTAGTCTTCTGGGACACGTGACAGGTCCCAGAAGACTACGGGCCATTCACAAAGCGCAGCCCTTCTCGCACATGCGCAGTGGGCACCTGGCTGTGAAGTCGCAAGCTGTCACAGCCGGGTGCCCACACTAAAGATGCCAGAGCCAGGGGGAGAAGACAGCCGGTGAAACCAGCGGTGGTGAGGACACCCCTGGATCAAGGGACAGGTAAGTGTCTGTATTTTAAAAGTCAGCAGCTACAGTTTTTCTTTAGGCCTCATGCACACTGCAGTTCAAAAAGGCTGCTTCTTTGAGGGTTTGAGCTTTTATTTCTCTGCCTGTAAAACTCTGCTCCATGTTAGCCTATGTGTCTATGCACACTATAGGCATTGTCAGGAGTTTAGAGGCAGGGGAGTATACAGTCATAAAAAAAAAACTACTTGTGCATTCAGGAGAGGAACTTTAGAGCATTAAAAAAAACACTCAAAAGCATGTTAATGTGCTTTAATGTGCATTTCTGCACAAATTAATTTTAATGGCCAGAATTCTGGCCAATACAATGCATTAACTCCAGATACAGGAACTTGTATGAACGCGCATTAAGATGCACTGACCGCCCAATGCAAAAATGCGGCTTATTTACCGCATTTTTGATGCAGTAAACTCCTGTAGGAGAAAAAAAAAAAATTTTAAGCTTAAGAGGGATGTTGTTTCCTGCACCTTAAATGCAGGTCAGAAGATTCCTATGTACTTCAGTGATATGATGACATTTCTGAGGCTGTGTTTGACCTGTTTGTTTTGCATTGCATTTCTTTGGATACAGCAGGTCCTATTGAATTACATTTGCAGGCAAAGCAGGTTAAACAAAGACATCTGCTTCAAAATGCCTTCTATTACATTTCATAACCAGAAAAAAAGGCATTCTGTGCTCCCATCTGTGATTTTTAAGTGTCTAATTGGTTAAGTAGAGTATTTTCACTGAGTGGGTTGATGGGTGAACTTTGGGAATAAAGGACTTGGTGCTGAAGTTAGTGAAGCTCAGGACTTAAAATGATTCTAAACATACAATGTTTAATTCCCATTATCCCTTCTATTTCTGTATAACGTTCATGACATTGTATTTAATTTAAGGTACAAAATCTTCTTAGTACCTTATTTAATCATTGCTGTTCAGAGGTCACATGACATTTCCCAGGTTTTTTTCTTGTCCTCAAGGAAAGTTCTGAAGGAGGCCTGATGTATGAATCTGTGTCTGCACAGCATTGATTGGTGCTGTGTCAGTCACAATACAATAAAAAGGTTTTCAGAATAGAGAATTAAAATAATCAATAGCAACAAAGTGTTTTAAAGCTTATTACAAATCTATATTTCAAAGAAAATGTTTATTTGTTTTTGCAGTAGCATGGTGTAGGTGGAGCCTAAGTTGACTGACAATAGTTTTCACTTTGTTCACACTGTAAACAGATCTGGAGGAGGTTCTGCCAATCACAGGCCTGTGTCTATTGTGTGGATGCACTGGGACTAACAGGGAGGCAAAGCCTCCATCAATCACCCTTTTATGTCCTGCCCCCATAGTTTTTTTACAATATGAAGACATGGAGGAGGAGCGAGAGAGTGTCATTTAACACTCTGTATACACCCATATGTGCCACTCCATAGTCATATGGTCTGCACAGATTAGAAAAAGGAACAAATGAACAGCTTAGGGGGAACTGAAACTGAAGCATGCTCAGTGGTCTACACAATCTCATGCTGCAGTGGGGACACAGACAATGATGGAGGGACAATGAACAGCAGGATCAACTAGGATTTTTGCATTCAACAGAAACCAAATGCTCTAGTTGATGAGTGAGTATGAACTCAATGTATTATAGCATGTATTGACAGTTTTTGATGATTTGGGTTTAATGACACTTTAACAAAGTAAGAAAGTAAAACTAGGAACAGAGGGAAAATGTTATCTAGCTAATACATGTAATATGAGGACTTTTCCTTTTAAAACATCCTACATTCACTTTAAGAGAATTTGACCACAGTAGCCCACCCATGTCTAGCTAATACTGACATACAGTCCAGTTCTGACCAGTGTACACCTCAGGAATAACATTTTCATAATGACTTCAACCTCTTTGCCCTATTTATAGTCTAGCACGATGGTCTCCAAACTGCAGTCCGGAGGACAGATGTGGCCCTTTGCTTGCATTTATGTGGCCCATGGGGCAAGTTTTCATCCACTGATACCAACAATGGGGCATAATTCCCCCCCATTGACACCAATGAAAGGGCAAAATTCCTCCCAATGACTCTAATGATGGGGCACAATACCTCCTAATGACATCAATGATGGGGCACAATTTCTACCAATGACACCCAGAATGGAGCCCAATGACACCAATGATGAGGCACAGTTCCTCCCAATGACACCAACGATTGAGCATTTTTTTTTTCAACTGGCATCAGGACCTTGTTTATTCCCAATGGCCCTAAAATCTGAAGGACCGTAAATTTGGCCCTTTGTTTAGAAAGTTTGGAGACCCCTGGTGTAGTACAAAAAGCAAGTATGTATAATAACCTGCTCTAAACAACCTACTTTCAGAATGATGAACAAACATTTTATTTAGGTACAGTATGTGCATTATGTATCACAATCCTCATTTATTAAAGTATCAATGCCTAAGTTATGTTAAATTAAAAAGAAAAAAAAAATACATTCAGTGTGACCTATCCCTTGTACTGCTGGCTGATCTCTTAGTTGAAATCTAAAGTCCTCTGTCCACACATATACGCAGATCCATAATCATCCATTACTACAGGGGTTAATTCGATCAACTAGACCTGTCACAGACACTCATCAAGAGTGTCGAATATGCCCGCCTTTTCCACCCCCATTCTCCATTCATAGAAGCCGTACTATGAAATGTGCTCAATGAATGGAGGATGGGTTGATGATTGAATGTTTGCTTCCTTCATTCATAGAGCACCTTTCATCTTTCCAATGAGACAAAGACAGCCCAAAATAAAAAGTGACAGTTCAAGCCTTCCCCATGCTATCCAAAATTAAAATAAAATGTACGGTATTGGCTAGAGCTACTCTTTAAATATAAGTATTAATGTTGCAAGTAATTTACTAAGTGATCCTGTTCTTGAAATGACAATAAGTGTTTCACTGGGCTATTGCTTAAAAAAAATGTTGAAATACAGGCAATGTGGTACTAAACATAACCAACAGGTGGCAGTCCCAAACTGTTTTTTCTGTTTAAGCACGGATATTAAACTAAACACAAATATCTTTTACATTAATCATTCTAAAATCACAAAATATGACTTTCCTTTTTTTTCTTAAAAGTTTCTTACCATTTTTTTAGGCTTCTTTTTTGTACTGTGCTTGCTCCTGATGCTACTGGTGTAGAGCAAGCAGTGTCATTATTTCTGGTCACACGCTCTGCTTTATGGGGCAAATTTATCAAAACTAGAGCAGCCAGAATCTGGAGCAGCTGTGCAAGGCAACCAATCAGCTTTTAACATCAGCTTGTTCAGTTAAAGCGATACTCAAGGTTCGTTTTCTTTTTTTCAATAACAAACATGTCATACTTACCTGCTCTGTGCAGTGGTTTTGCACAGAGCAGCCCCGATCATCCTCTTCTTGGGTCCCCCGCTGGCGCTTCAGGCTCCTCCCCCCGATCAGTGCCCCATAGCAAGCCGTTTGCTATGGGGCATTGGTGCATGCTTGTCCCCGAGCCTCGCTCTCTGCATCCATAAGACACAGCAGAGTGGGACTTGGCCCCACCCCCTGCTCTTTCCTCACAGGCTGTGATTAACAGCAGTGGGAGCCAATGGCTTCCGCTGCTCTGTTTCAGCCAATGAGGAGAGGGAGACCTGGGAAAGCCAAGTCTCCTGTGCACGTCGCTGGACCAAGCTCGGGCTCAGGTGATTATTAGGGGGGGCTGGGGGGGCGGGAGGGCGCTGCACACAGAAGGGTTTTTTACCTTCATGCATACAATGCATGAAGGTAAAAAACCTTAAGCCTTTACAACCACTTTAAGCTGTGAAAAGGAAAGATAGACGCTGATTGGTTACCATGCACAACTGTCCCAGATTCTGGCTGCTCCAGTTTTGATATATTCCCCTCTATGTGTCCTAAAATTCCCACAGAATGTGTCTGCAGGTCAGTCCATCTCAGGGGTAAGCAGGAAAGGGTGGCTACATTCACACACACAAAAGGGGCATGGAGAACGAAGGTAGCCACCCTAGAACAGGAAGTCTGAGATTAGCAGAAAAAGACTTGCATTTGAGCGATGTAACAAAGTAAGACAGAGGTAGTAGGTATATACAGTATTAGCTAGACATAATGCATTTATTTTATGTTATAAAAATAGAGTTTAGTGTCACTTTAAAGAAGCTTTCTAAAGAATTATAAAGAAGCTTATTCTTTTAGAAATTTCATCTCCAATATACAGTATGCTATGAACACAGAGAATGTTTCTGTTAAGTTTGTAAAAGTGTGATTAATTGTAATCCTAGAAATATTTTCATCCATGGTCCCCTGTTGATCTGGTATAGGGAATAAGGCATTGCTCATGAATGCCTGTGGAAATAGTTGCAGTGTGATAGCTGAGAAATGGTTGTAGTGCCCAGTCTCTGAAAAATTGGACAGATTCTGAAAAATGAATTATTTTATTTTGAGAGCCACATTTTTAAAACTGAAAATACATAGGATGGTACACTGTTTTTAGTTTCAATAAGTTTTTATAGTAATTCATCCCCCATAGTAATTCATCCCCCATATAGTAATTCATCCC